CCCATGTCTTTTTGGCTCAGTGAAAACAAAGAGGTGAGTTTGAGTTAGGCGTGTTATAACTCCAACAGGAGAAGATGCATTGCAAGGAATTGGGGGGGGAGGGGCAAAAAAAAACAGATTGAGCTCAGTTTTATGGACACTTAAAGATTAATAAAATGTGGTTTCTGCCTTTGGGGGTTTTCAGTCTAATAAGGGAAATGTTTGTATAAGTAACTAATGGAAGGGCAGAATGAAATAGTTTCTAAATAGTCTTATAATAAAGTAAATTATTTTCTGTAATTAAAGAAGATGAGAAAGCTTTGTGGAGAAGTGACATCTGGGTTTGGCATCAGAAAGATGAGGGAAATTTCAGTCAGAAGGTTGGCAACTGGGGGTTAAAGGTGGCATTCTAGGCAAAGGAAGCAGCATGGGTAGAGTTGGTATTAGAGTGTTCAGAAAGTAGTCAACAAAGTAGTATTTTGGAGCATGTGGTACATGGAAAAGTGATGGGTGAGAGGCTGTTATTTTAATATTCCCATTTGTATCACAGGTGTGATGAGGGCCTCTTCTTTCCCTGTATTAAGTAGGCCCAGAAATTTCTCAGACCTACAGACTTCAGCTATATCAGTTTTTAAACACAGTAAGGGTAGAACTGCATTCTCCATTAAGGACAAAGTGGGAATCAACCCCAGATTTTTAAAATATTTATTTTTTTGCTACTACAATGACTTAGCCCATGTGAAGACTCTGAAATGGCCCCTTGGCTGAGAATCACTGACATAGGGAGCCACTGTTCTTATGGGACTTTGTCATATCCCTCAGGTGTGCTGTGGTAGAAAAAAGGTTGAGAACATAGCCCTGACTATAAACTCCCCAAAAGCAAGGACTGTGTAATTAATTGCTGTTTTATTCCCCCCAAATCCCTATTTGGGGCCTCTATAAGTAGGCAGTTAATGCTGTATTGCCACCATTTCCCATCCTTTTTTTTTTTTTTTAAATCCTCACTGGAGGATATTTTTTCCATTGCTTTTTAGAGAGAGTGGAAGGGGGAGAGAGGAAGAGAAAGAGAAAAACATTGATATGAAAGAGACATATTGATTGGTTGCCTCCCGCAGGCGCCTGGACCAGCCTGCAATGGAGGTTCATGCCCTTGACCAGAATGGAACCCAAGACCTTTCAGTCTGCAGGCCACCGCTCTAACTACTGAGCCAGACCAGCTAGGGCCACACCCTAATTTTTTATGGACATCAATTGTTTGGTTAATTGACTTCTGGCCATCTATAAAATTGGAAAGGAATAATAATGAGCCCAAGCTTCTAACTTCATTGCCTGCCTTAATACAGAATCCTCACCATGGATGGGCTCATTGAGGACATCAAGCGACGCCGGTACTATGAGAAGCCTTGCCGCAGACGACAGAGGGAAAGCTATGAAACCTGCCGGAGGATCTACAACATGGAAATGACTCGCAAGATCAACTTTCTGATGCGAAAGAATCGGGCAGATCCGTGGCAGGGCTGCTGAGGCCTGTGGATAGTAGGCCCAGCAGGAAGACTTCTATCCAGTTGTGTCTCCACCTCTTTTCTTTCTGCAACCCCATTTTCTCTTACCATTTCTTGCAATAAACTCAATCACGTATATATAAGAAGGCCTGTATATATAGAAACAATTCCACTAGTCAGCAGTGGACCCTCTCTTTTATTAAGTGAAAGAAAAACTGTGTCAAAAAGGAGTCTAGGAGTAGAGGGGCTGGTTGGGAGGGGAAAATGGGGAATTACTGTTTAGTGGGTACAGAGTTTGAATTTGGGAAGATGAAACAAGTTCTGGAGACGGATGGTGGTTGCATAGTTACGTAACAGTGTGAATGTACTTCATGCCACTAAACTGTACACTCAGATGGTTAAAATGGTAGATTTTATGTATATTTTACTATAAGGTTTTTTTAAATATATCTTTCTTGATTTCAGAGAGAGGAAGGGAGAGGGGGAGAGAGAGAGAAAGATCAATGATGAGAGAGTCATTGATCAGCTGCCTGCTGCACACCCCCCACTGGGGATTGAGCCCGAAACCTGGGCATGTGCCCTGACTGGGAATCAGATCTCGATCTCCTGGATCATAGGTTGATGCTCAACCACTAAGCCATGCCAGCCAGGCTATAATAAGTTTTTTAGAGTAGTCTAGGAGAGGTGAGGAAATTTTCTAAAATGTAGTGGAATATATGTACCATTTCCTACCCAGTTTTTATGAAACACAAAGCAGGATCTTATCGGAAAAGCATCTGCTACTCTTTTTTTTTTTTGATGAGAAAATCAAATTTAATATCGTGCACATGGGAACCCCACATACATAAGAGCCTCAGAGACCCTGCACACAGGAGAGGTTTAGAGATGGAAAGGGGCATTGAGGCATGTAAGACACCCTGAGTTATGGATGAGGTAATTAATGTACCTTGGGGGACTTCAAAAGGCCATTGCAGGAGGATAAGAACAGATGTTCAGTAAATAGAAGTTTGCCCTGCCATATAGGTGGATGATAAAGGTTACCACTGATAATCTCTTTATGGGCAAGGCCTTTAATTCAAATTCTTCTAGGTAATTAAGGTGGGGAAGGGGAGCAGAAGTTTCTCCTGAGCCTGAAGCTAAAACTGCCTTCAGCTCAAAGTAATCTGCATACCATGGAGGTATATCCTGGGGTGGTTGGTTCTAGACCCCCACACAATTTTCCCATACCCTTACTACTATTATATTCTCCTTTCTTTAAAATCATTTTTTTATTTTTCAATTACAGTTGACATATTATTGTATTAATTTCAGGTTACACCCCAGTGGTTAGACATTTATGACTTACTAAGTGATCATCCTGATAAATCTCACACCCATCTGACCAAATACATAGTTAGAATATTATTGACTATATTCCCTATGCTGTACTTTACATCCCCAAGACTGTTTTGTGACTACCACTTTGTACTTCTTAATCCCTTCACTGTTTTCACCCAGCCCTCTGACCCCCCTTCCATCTGGCAACTATCAAAATGTTTTCTGTATTTATGAGTCTGTTATGCTTGTTCATGTATTTTCTTTTTTTAGATTCAGTAGATGGATGGTAGAAAAGGGAATAGAGGAGTGTTGAGAAATAGAAGGGCACAGAGCCAGAAATACCTACAGCAGCAGTTCTCAAAGTGGTTTTCAGATCTGTAGCATTGACAGATCCTGAGAAACTGTTTGAAATGCACATTCTGGGACCCTACTTTAGACCTTCTGAATTGGAAACTGGGGTTGGAGCTTAGTAATATATTTTAATAAACCCTGCAGGTGATTCTGATGCCTGCTAAAGTTTGACAACACTGCCCTATAGTACTCAAAAGAGAGTCCAGGCAGAGGGCCCACCACCACCCCTACCTCTCCCCAACAGGCACTCCTGGGTCTGTGATTCTTAACAGCTGGACCCTTACCTCTCCCCATCAGGCACTCCTGGGTCTGTGATTCTTAACAGCTGGGCGCATCCGACCCCTGGGAAGACCAGTTGCTCTGCTTCCTCTCCTGCTGTGTATTTCCTCTTGCCTTGTTCCCCTGACAGCCATGCTGCTGATATAAGGAGAGTTGGTGCCAACCTCTGTAGGAGTACTCGGAGGGTGGGCAGAAGCTCCTAGCCCACCTCATCTCAACCCTGCTGCAGCTCTCAGCATGGTGTTTAAAAAGGAAGTAAACAGAGCGGACTGCCAAGTCCCCCTACCTCTCCAGATTGCTAGTGTTCAAACATTGCCCCCTTGTGGTGTATTAGCATGGCTTCAGATTTCTGGCCTTAATTTTGTCTTCACTATCTTTTCTCCCTTTCACAAATACTACACTTATTGATTAAGCAGGCCTGCAAGCAGATATGCTGGAACAGATATGCTGTTCCTGGCCTCTCAAGGATTGATTTTCTTTCTTCTACTTGGCAGCCGTATGGTAAAGAAAACATTACAAGACAGTGCATAGAAGTAGCTTAGATCTGGTTCTTGCTCTCTGGAAACTTACATTGTGGTTGGAGAAATTTTATATAATACAGATAGTCTTCAACTTTGTCACCTTTGTCCATCCTCATTTTAACAAGTTAGCAAGTTAGACTTTGATACTTCTAAATCACCTTTCAGTCTGACTGGTCTTTACTACATCATTTTTCTATGATTTTGAGCCATGCACAGTGTCACTGCCTGCCAGTTGCTATTGGTGAATGAAAACCTGGCCATTGCCAAACTGGTAGGGTACATTTGTGATAGCAGAACCAGGCCTGTTACTTGATAGAATTTCTCTGAGGTTAAAGTTGCTTCTGAGCTCCCTCCAAAATACTAAGGGGTGGGAAGGATCTAGAATTGAATTTGTCACTGAAATTATACCCTGCTTGTCTTAATCTCCAGTCCTGACCATTGTCCATTGTTCCTCAGAGTAATGATGGGCTTTAGTAGCTAGTCAATTGAGAGGCCTCGTGTAAAGTGGGTAACTAACTGGCTGGCTGTCAAGCAGGGAGAAAGACCTTCCACTCCCTGTTCTGGGAAGCTAGAAGCTAGCTCATGGTCATGTAATGACTAGGGATTGCCCTAATATTTTTATCTTTGTGTTAGGTTTAGGAGACGGGTGGTTTGGTATGCACCCACTTACAGGGTGATAAATGCAATACCTTCTATCCTGATCTCATGCACCTGTGACATCTTTTGCATGTACACTGGATTGCCTCTGGCAGGCCTGTTCTGATTGTAATTTAAGGATCTTATAATGTTTAGTGCTCTGGAAACAGGTATTCCCTTAAAATTGGGACTGTTGGGTGACTTTAACATTGTACTTTAAAGTTTTTAGAAGTGCACTAAGTACAAAATGAGAGTTTGTCTACGTGTTAACTGAGAATAGTGAGGAGTAATAATTTACTGCATACAAAGTAATAATGTTGTGGTGTGGGAAGTGTATATAAGTAGTTGAAGGGAAAGGAGAATATTGGAGCTTCGGCTATGTGCCAGCTGCTTACCTGCACATACAGTTTTTCACTTAGTCAAAAAGATCTGATTCAGTCATGATCTTGGCAAGTTATTTAACAAACTTTTTTTTCCCTGTAAAATGAGGATACCTATCTACAGGTTTGTGGTTGAGGTAATGCATGTCAGTTTAGTTTTCTTTGTGTAAATTGTTTTATATCTATACAGTAGATATAAGTAATATATAAAATATCTATTAATAGAGATGTCTATTATACTTTTGTGTTATGTATCATGTAGCTTTACTGAACTCTGTGAGAAGCATTGTTTTAAGTGCATTACCCTCAGTCACTCTAGTCCTCACAATAGCCCAATTAGATGGCTTCTTTTTTTACAGGTGAATAAATAGAAGGCTTAAGTAGTTTGCCTAATGTCACAATAATGAGTGGAAGAACTAGAATACGAATCTAAGCAGTCTGGCTTTAAAGCCCATGCTTTTACTGAATCATTAAGCAATACTGATTCCCAGAGGATTCCTGGCACATACTAGTAGGCAGTCAATAAATATTTGTTCTGTCAATTAATGAATGAAATAATAAGAGACGGGGGGCCAGGGGCTCGCTATTCAGAGTGCTCTACTCGTTTTTTTCCTGGGTAGTTGGTCTCTGGCACCACTGTTAATTTAACTAAGGTAGGGAGGTTAAGGAGACGTGGCTAACACTAGCGATGTCGACTCTTTCAGAGGGTTGACTTTCTACCCAGAAAGGCCGCGTTTAGGCTCGCTTCTAGTTCTAGCATAACTTAGTGCACTTATTCTCCACACTAGGAGCACCGCAAGCAGCCCAATTTCTGCTTTAGGCCAAATTAATTTTGCAATAACCTAGTTAACGGATTAGCTGGGGAAAACGAAGCAGGTTGGAACTTCTGTGGTGCAACTTCACGGCTCCACCACGCATGCGCTCTGCAGCCGGGAAGGTGGCTACTACGGCTGCGCGAGTGGGCGGGCCGGCCCTCCCCCATCACGTGTTGGAGGACCGCTGCGTGGAGGCGGCGGTGGCGGTGGCGACTGGAGGACGTAGAGCAGTCGGAGGGTTTCCGGTTCCGGTGTAACGTTCGGGCTCCGTCTCAGGGGCTGAAGTTTGTGAGGTGAGTAGTGGCCCCAGGCCCAGAGGGGGTGCGCTGCAGTCCGAGCGCCTGAGGCCAGGGCTCAGTCTGAGAGGAGGACCGAAGCGGGAAGGTTCCGTGGGAAGGCAGCTGAGAGAGAACTAGGTTCTGTGGGAGAACGGGTTAGAATGAGATTCTTGAGAGGAAAAGGGCGGGGGCGGGAAGGGGACAGGGTGGGGAGACTAGCTCGGAGGTGAGGAGTTTGGGTAGAACAAGGTGGGGTAGGGTCCGGTCGGAAAGACGGGGAGAGCAAAAAGAGAATGGGGCTTCAGGGTGGTAAGGCGGGTTGTAGTGAAGAAGTGCACGGAGTAAGGAAATCTTCAGAAGACTGGATTCTGCCACCTGCTCATTCAGAGATCATTCCGCCTTTCTCCTTCTACATCATAACAAACACACACGCCCCACTCAGTTGTTCAGGATTTGATTAGTGACAAAGCTAGTTGCTGTTTGAAACTTTGATTCTTGCCCACTGCCTGTTTAGTTTGCACATTATCTTATGGACTGGAATACATCTGTTAGTGTAGTGCTTGAGC